TATCCAGTGAGCATTCAGAGTAAAGTGAATAAATGCAAACATTTGGTTCACTTTTATATTTTCTTTTTTAGACACAATGGGGTTTATTTACTAAAGCTGGAGAGTGCAAAATCAGGCTCACTTCTGCATAGAAACCAATCAGCTTCCAGGTTTTATTGCCAGAGCTCAATTGAACACACTGAGGTTAAATTCTGATTGGTCTATGCAGAAATGAGTCTGATTTTGCACTCTCCAGATTTAATAAATAAACCCCAATGTGGCTGAGTTACTAAAGAGGTAAACCATAATCAGTTTGCAAAGGAATTATCTGATATCTTTGCCAATAAGAGGAAGCCATGCTGACTTCTATCCTCCAATCATGTGCAAGCAAAAAAAAAATTCCTTGCACAAAATTGGATATTCTTTGCAAAATTAATTTTCAGTTTGAAAATTGAGCATACACTACTTCTTTAGTATGTCAGCCACATTGTCATGCAGTTATTGGAACACCATTTTGTAATGTGTTTCAGGTAACAATATTATTATTAGTAAAGCATACCTTCCAACTTTCTGAGATGAGAAAGAGGGATACCTTCTAGCACAATGTATTTAGGCAATGGACACAACCCTGATTATGCAAACGCTGTAGAATTTTTATGGCTATTATTAATGGCTAAACCCAAAATTGTTATTCTATAAAATTACTTTTCATTTATACAGGCTTTCGAATGACATAATTAAAGTGGTTGTAAACGTCAGACATGAAATATGAACAAAGCATATCGCTCTATAATGTGTGCCTGTCTCAATCCAGAGCACTAAGTATAATTTCTCTCTGCTGCCTCATTCCTCTGCTATCTGTATTAATCACTTCTGAAAAGTTTTCCCGACACCAAGAAGTAAAAAGGTGATAGGGGAGGGAGTTCCAGCACACAGCCTGTGATTGACAGTCTCAGCTCTGTTCCTGTGTGCTGTGTGAATGGGAGAGTGTCCCTTTGCTTCAATCAGCGCCCAGCTCTCCTCAAGGTCATTGCTGTCTGTGCCCCCGTTAACCACCTCCCATCCGGCCGTTGTATATAAACGTCCGGACGGTGGCAGTGCAGGGTTGAGTGGCCATTTTTAAACGGCCTCCCCGCACCCTACTTGTGTGCTCCCTGGGAGCGCGCAGCACCACGATCCGGTGCCCGCTGTGTCCTCCGGACACAGTGGAACACCGATCGTCGGACGTGACCTCTGTACGAGATCCTGATCATGTGATCACTGATTGGCCAATCAGTGATCACATGCAGAGTAGTAAGCAAGATGTCACTTGTGACATCATTGCTTACTACGTGTGAAATCTGTGAATGATCACAGAGATCACATGGTACAAGGCTATTCACAACAGCCTTGTACCATGTGACAAGCTGTGACCAATCACAGCTCACTCAGTAGTTCTCAATGGCTGCAAGAATGCAGCTAGAGAGAAGGAGAAATGATTGCTTTTACAGCCTTTATGGGTATAAAAGCAATCAGAGTAATAAAAAAAAAAAAAATCTTCATCACCCCCACAAGTAGTACAGTGTCACCATGGTGACACTGTACTGCTAGGGTGACAGTATGTAAAAAAAAATAATAATAAATGAAAAATAATATAAAAAAATAAAAAAAAATGTAAAAAAAATATTTAAAGATTATAATTTTGGTTATAAACTAATTTGGGGTTTTTTTTTACTAAAAATATAACGGAATAAATGTTGGCCAAGATTTATGATGAAATACTATTTATTTGCAAAATTTTATAAGAAAAACACTTTTTTCCAAAATTTTTGGACGTTTTAATTTACATAGCAAAAAAAATAAAAATCCCAGTGGTGAATAAATACCACCAAAATAAAGCTCTATCTGTCTCAAAAAAATGCTAAAAAATTCATATGGGTACAGTGTTGCATGACCGCGCAATTGTCATTCAAAGTGTGATAGCACTGAAAGATGAAAATTGGCTTGGACAGGAAGGGGGTAAAAGTGTCCAGACTGGAAGTGGTTAAAGAGAGTTATCCTCCTGTTTATAGTTATCATAAATTGTGGAAGTAAAAGAGAATCCCACATTTTCCAATAGAACAATAATAGACGGGAAATCTTCCAATGAGGGCACTCGTTCTAGGGCTTAATGGATTCCCTTAATTTGCAGGCATTTCCTCTAATTTCCTCTTTTGGCTATAGAACAGGAAGTGAAGGTATATCTCCCCAGTGGGACACAGATGGCAAAAAAAACTAACAGGGGTAGTAACCCTCCATTACACTATCCAAAATTTAAAGAAAAAAGTTTTGCCTATAGTTCTATTTTAAGTGATACAATTAAGATTTTAGAGCAGAATGATACACTTGGCAGTTAAATTGTAAATTTTATAGATATCTGTTCATTAGACCAAAAAGAGGGGCAACTAAGGAGGAAAAGAGGGGCAGAGGGATTTGGTTCCAAAGGAGGGACAGTCCCTTCAAATGAAGGACAGTTGAGGGGTAAGGTAAGGAGATTACTGTAGGTGTAGCAAATATTGATCCGGCATAAACATTTACCATTATTCTAAAAAGGACATTAAATAATGCATGTTGCTTGAAAAAAAGTTTCTCTTCATCTTTTTACCTTCTATAATAGTCTTGCATGTGCACTATAATATGTTATATATCATACAAATATTACATACATACTATATTATATGTTATCTTGCATGTAGATTAATTTATCATTTTGGGAGGTAATGTGAATGCAGATGCATGATTGCTTTCAATACTAAACTGGTCTGAGTTAAGTGTACTATGATTTATTATTTAAAAGCAAAATCGGTTAATGACACTGTTTCAGCTATTGAATTGGATTGTTCATTCTTGAGGTTACTTTTCTCCAGATCAAAGCATTTCAATGTCATAATGGCTGTACTGCATAATTAAAAGAGTTTGTAGTTCTAGATAATCAACATATTAGACCATAGGTGACAAAGCAAAGCTGAACATTTTTTTAAATACATGCAAGCAGTTTTAGCAGATGTGTTAATGTTGCTACAGGAAGGTGTCTGCTGTCATGCAGGAAATGCACCAAAATCACATGTACAGTACATTCATTTTTCACTCATTTTGTAATGCATTTCCATTGAAGTCTATGGAACCAAAAATGCAATCTGCTGTGGGCAAAGATGTCCCTAACCCTTTCCAAAAAAAAAGACCGCCCCAGTTGAATACACACAGATGTGAACGTGACCCATAGGAAATCATGCTAAATGGACTGTAAGGCATTTCTGCATATCTGAAAACACCCTGCAAAAAGCATAGGTGTGAACCTAGGATTAGAAAAGGCTGTGCTATGTGGCAGAGCTATGTATATTTCAGAATCGGATGGACAAAAATCGAAATATTTTGGCAGGAAAAACATCTCTCACATTCTGTATGTACTGTATTCCATCCAGGGGCGGACTGACAACTCATGGGGCCCCCGGGCAATAGGGGATCATGCGCACCTGTGTCCTTGCCCAAACTCAAAAAAGCCTATGAAAAAGCTGCCAGGGGCATCTGGGGCCCTCTATGGGGCCCTTGGGGCAGTTTCCAAATGGTCAGTCCGCCCCTGATTCCATCTGTGTATTTAGGTATTTGCTTGGAAGTTTAAGGTACCCATATTTATGATGTGACCTTTACCCAATCCATCTGACACATGAACCTAATACAGTGGTCTCCAAACTGTGGCCCGTGGGCTAGATGTGGCCCTTTGCTTGCCTTTATCTGGCCCTTGGGGATTCTGTTTACAGATATGGAGCACTATTCCTCCTGCTGATATAAACTCCAAAACTTTATTTCTTTCACTGACAATAATGATGGGGCATTATTCATTCCACTGATACCCATGATGGGCACTACTCCTCCCATTGGCACCATTGATGAGGCACTATTTCTCCCAGTGACACCAACAATGGGGCACTACTCCTTCCACTGATGTAAATGATGCAACATTATTTCTTTCACTGATCCTAATGATGGAGCATTATTCCTTCCACTGATACCATCGGTGGAGCACTATTCCTCTCACTGACTGCAATGATGGTGCACTATTCCTCTCACTGACACATAGGATGGGGCATTATTCCTTCCACTGATACCAATGGTGGAGCACTATTCCTCTCATTGACTGAAATGATGGCGCACTATACCTCTCACTGACACAAATGATGGGGCATTATTCCTTCCACTAACACCAACAATAGGGTCACAATTCCTATCACTAATACCTGGTATGGGGCACAATTCTTCCTCCTACTGACCACAGATATTATGTAATTTTTTTACTCCCCATCACCACAGTCAGGCCCCCTTATAGTTTGAAGGACAGAATACTTGCCCTTTGTTTAAAAAGTTTGGAGACTCCTGCCCTAATGTTTAGAAATACCAGCAAATGTCTGCAGACACCCCTGATGATTGTTCATAGGGTAAATAGTGATCAGCAGTGTTAAATATTTTCCTCTTATGTTATAACTCTTAACCCCTTTGATTCCACTGAAAATAAGCTGGAATTTAAGATATTTGTTCATATTATCCTACCTTTCCTCTTTTGACATAAATGTACACACTTGGATGAACTGAGTGTGTGTGTTTATGTCAGAATCTATTAAAAAGAAGCCCCAATAACTTTGGATCAGTCTTATTTAATTTTTTAAAATTTACCTATTTAAATAAAAACTTTGTTTACAAATATACATTCATTATAGTGCTCATGGGACAGGATTAAGGAGTCTTTTAAAAGGCAGGGCAAATCAGAAGCTGTTTTACTTCATAATTTCTCTAAGGCCGCATGCACACTTAAGCATTCCAAAAAGATATGCAAAAACCATCATTGCTTTCTTAAAGCGATGTTTCAGCCACTGCCCCCACCAAAAATCAAAAGGATTAAAAATCACCAGCTACAAATACTGTAGCTGCTGACTTTAAATATTAGGAAACTTACCTGTCCTGGGATCCAGCACTGTCCTCACCCTGAGTTGATTATTCAGTCAGCTGTCGGGTGCAGGGGCGGACTGACCATTTGGAAACTCGGGCACTGCCCGAGGGCCCAGGATCAGTAGGGGGCCCCATGAGATGCCCCTGGTACCTTTTTCATAGGCTTTTTTGAATTTGGGCAAGGACACAGGGGCCCCATGATCCCCTATTGCCCGGGGGCCCCATGAGTTGTCAGTCTGCCCCTGGTCGGGTGCTGGTGCCGCCATCCTGACTAAGGGAAACCAGCAGTGAAGCCTTGCAGCTTCACAGCCAGTTTCCTACTGCACATGCCCAAAGCACACTGCGCTTTGTGGATGAGCTGCAGTCCTCTGGGACCTGTGAAGTGTCCCAGAGGGCTGCAGGGGGTGAACTTTGCTGCGGCAAACTGAGCTGGAAGTGGGAGCAGGTACCTCTCAAAATCAGGTACTCACTCCCCTCTCCCCCCAAATGTAGCAGTAGAAGGGGGAGGAGGCAGATAAGTGAAGCTTCCACTTTTGGGTGGAACTCCACTTTATTGGCACCCTATGTCGTGCAGTCCTGCATTACATTGTGCATTTGTTGTGTGACAAAATGTGAAAATGTGGCAAAGTGCACAAAGTAAAATGTGCTTGGCCCAGTGTCAAAAAAGGTACATTGGTACTTCGGTGCATTTGTCATGCGTAGAGCAGCTTGGGGAATGGGCTGCCCTATGCTGTCCCTCAAATGTGCCAAAAAATAAGGCAATAAAAACTCAGTGCGTAGCTCTGGTGTGAGTGAAGCCTAACGGAAATTCTGTACAAAGCAGTCTCTAAACAGGTGGATGGGAATGGGTATAAATAAAATAAAATGTACACCTTTCAATTAAAATATGCATGTTGTCACCTGTCTTTCCTACATCTCTTTTTACAGTGACAGGAGATACAAATGAGATTTGGGACCTATATTATTAAAGGATATGTTCATATGCCAGTTCATTAGTCATGCAATGACATTCAAATTGTACCTTATGGTATTTACTACGTGCCCACAATGCACATGGTTTGTGAACACAGGAAACAGCATTCATACAGTAAATTTATTAGGTAAATGTGGTTTGCTATGGCGTGTACGCTTCAGCTTATAAATGTACACTGGCAAAAGTGTGCCTAAAATATAAATATGATTTTCTATAATGCTTTTGGCTCTGTCTTACCACTGTTGATATTTTAAATGCTCATACTCTGTATGCATAAAATAGCAATCTATCCTTAAAGAGGATGGTAAGAAACCCAGAATTCTAAAAGGTCTTAGTGAACTGTACACAAAAGTATTGTATTCCGCATGCACATATCTATGTACATAGAAGAAGATTATTCTGTATGCATGTCCTAACTGGCACTATTTAGCATTATGTTCCTCTTCCATATATACCCATGCGTGCACAAACTCTTATTAATGGTAAACCTTGCAGTAAAGAAATTAAGAAACTAATATTCAAGTTCAGTTTAACTACTTTTTTCACTATACCCATTCCAAGCCATTCTGCAGTTTTTATTTGTAAAAAATAAATAAATAAATGTACATAATTGGACTGATGGGTACTCATGATATCATATCCCCTATTCACAGAAACAAAACCAAAATTTACAGTATGGATTGTATAGGTGTCATAATGTCAGAAAAAAACTATTTTCTATATTTTAAAATATAGCATTTTATTGTACAAATTTTCCTAAAAGCGCAAAGAATTTCATGTGGAAAATTAAAATTATTATCAGTTGTAGTACATACACCAATTATTGATGTACAAGATAGATGTATGAGATCTCTAGGTTATGGGCAGCACAGTGGCTAAATGGTTAGCATTTCTGCCTGGCTGTGCTAGGGTCACTGGTTCAAATCCCAACCATGGCACCACCTGCCTGGAGCTTGCATGCTCTCCCTGTGGCTGCATGGGTTTCCTCCAGGTACTCCAGTTTCCTCCCACACTTCAAAGACAAAGCTAATTGGCTCCTGTCTAAATTGGCCCTAGTATGTGTATGTATGAATGTAAGTTAGGGACCCTAAATTGTACACCCCTTGAGGATTAGGGACTGATGTGATTGTACAATATATATGTAAAGCACTGCATAAGTTGACAGCACTATATAAGTACCTGAAATAAATAAATAAATGGGAGAGAGAGTGCAGAGTATGCATGCACACAGAACCCTGCCTAGAGGATAACATCAAAGCCTAATTCCTCAGCCCTAACTCTTACAGCAGTGAAAACGGTGGGGCACCAACTTTTTTAAATAGCACCAACTGGTACCAACTGTGAGATGGTGCTGCAGCATGGTGCTTCAGCCCGACCAGCCGTACTTACTAAGTGAGCTTTCAAAGACACACCAGAGGCTTTGCCACAAGTTTGGACCCTGAAAGTACTCCTTAATCCAGCACTGTACAATCAGCAAATTGCATTCAAGATATTATTCCAAGTTGTAGGCAATCCACATAATACTCAGTGCAGTGAAGTCCAAAGTGAAATCTAATGTGCCCAGGTGATGAAGATGAAATGCTTACTAGAGAAACTTGATTGACCCTCAGTCACAGAGTCGTCAGTGATACTTGTCTGATTGCTTTTGGCGCCACTCAAAGTACAGGTAAAAGCATATCCCTGTGTCCCAGAACATGGGGTGCAGGTTTGTCCTATTACCAATCCAGGGGGCTAGTAAATGTAAAAATGAAAGGATCACAGCTACTCCCGACCATCCCAGGTGAATAAACAATAACGAGTGGTCTTAGCTTGCATGTTTCCATCAAACCACACACTCTGATCAGGGTTTGTGGTTTAGTGGTGACATGTAGGCCGAAGCCAGTCTTTATTGTTTATTCACCTGGGCTGGTAGGGAGTACTGGCGATCCTTATCTCTTTATGCATGAAAAGTGAATCAGCCAGCACAGCTCATCCCAGAACTCGCAAGGATAACATGCATGAAATTATAAGGAAAAAGACGGCCATAATAGTGTAAATACAACAACACAATTTAATATAGATTCTATTAAAAATCCCACATGTTAAAATTAAAGAAGCTTTTATCTGTATAGAAAAACAACAGTCCTGATGAGCGTTACCATCATGTGTAATGACATCAAGGCCACCTGAGCCCCTGAGGATATCAGATTGTGACGAAACATGTACGGTGAAGGCAGTGTCTTCACGCATGCCATCTCTTTCTTTATACTTTTATGTATGTTACCATTGTGAAGAGTTACAGGGGATGCCTGGGTAAGCTGTGCTGGCTGATACACATTTCTTGCTTGTTGTGACAACTGCATGACTATCTTAGATCCATCAGTGGCTGTTACTCACCTCTCAGGAGAAAGTTTTTGGAAGCCTTAACTGTTAAAGAATTAATGTGTCCCTTAATAGACGATAAAGGAAATAAGATTTTTATAGTTAACATTTTTTTTAAGTCCTGGACACAGGTCCTGCCCCTCTGAGCTGTCCTATATACTGCTTGTGCACAAAACTGAGGTTTGAAAGTTACAGGCGGGGTTATATGAGGGCTGGGCTAACGTTTTTTTTTTCTGTTTGCCAGCATTCAAACCCGTAGGTGGCAGCATATAACCCTACTGTTTTGGAATCTCTGTGTCCCTCAATGGATACAATTGTTTTTTTTAATGCCCAGAGTTAAGCTAAGAGTAAAGTAAAATATATTCAATAGTTGTCACATAGTTTGTGAACATTGAACCATTACTGTCTGGCTCTAGGAGACATTTATTTCAAAACAAACTCTGGCTTTGTCATGTCTACTGTGATAAGAACCTGCTTATCCACAGATTTAATAAAGTCATAAAACGTGTACTAAATTCCAACATCAATACATTGTATTTGAAAAAAATCAGATCCACTAGAAATCTATTATTCTCATCAATATGTTGATGAAGACTAGTAAATAATTATTTCCTTTGAATTTCTTGGTAACATGATATTAATAAAGATCAATATATACAGTATGTTCCCTGATTATTTCAACAAACTTTATTGACATGCTAAATAAAACATATCTTCATATATTGACAAAAAAAAATAGTCACACATTGAAAGATCTTGACTGCTAGAACAGAGCTTACTTTAGAAGATCTAAAATGTATATATTGTAAATTAAATATTCTGGTTAACTCAATTCTAAGGCTCCATGCACACTAGCGTTTTTGTTTTTTAAAGCTCAAAAAACGCTGGAAAAATGCTGGATAAATGCTGGATAAAAAACGGTGGTAATAGCATTTTTAGTAGGGTTTTAGTAATGTTTAGAAGCATTTACTGAAGCCCCCTCCACACCTTTGACCTTACTACCATCGAGGAGGTCACCAAGGTCTTTTCTGAATCCCGCCTCACCACCTGCCGCGACACCTCCCCTCACAACTCCTACGACCTCCCTCCCCCTCCATCCTACGCTCCCTCACCCACATCTTTAATCTCTCCCTCTCTTTCGGTGCATTCCCCTCCCCTCTGAAGCACGCGCACATCACTCCCATACTTAAAAAGCCCTCCCTGGACCCCAACGACCCACACAACCTCAGACCCATCTCCCTGCTCCTATTCTCATCCAAACTCCTCGAGCGCTTAGTCTACAATTGCCTAAGCTCTCACCTCAATGACAACAAACTCCTTGATCCCCTACAGTCCGGCTTCCGTCCCCTACACTCCACCAAAACTGCCTTACTCAAACTCTCCAACGACCTTCTAACCGCCAAAGCTAATGGCCACTATTCAGTGCTCCTACTCCTCGACCTCTCCGCAGCCTTTGACACAGTCGACCACCCCATCCTCCTCAAAAAACTACACTCCCTCGGCCTCAGAGATTCTGCTCTCTCCTGGCTCTCGTCCTACCTATCACAACGCTCCTTCAGCGTTACCTATAACGCTACCACCTCCCCCTCGCTCCCCCTCTCTGTTGGGGTCCCTCAAGGCTCCGTCCTCGGGCCCCTTCTCTTCTCCATCTACACCTCCTCCCTTGGCCAACTCATACACTCTCACGGCTTCAACTACCACCTCTATGCCGATGACACACAAATCTATCTCTCTACCCCTCACCTCACCCCCTGTCAGGAATGGACTTGCCAGTAATGGTGGGACTCACCTGCCTTGTGGGCTGCAGTACCAGGGCTGGCCAGCGGGTGCTCTCAGCAATCAGAGACTCAAGCCTGTAGTCAGCCAAACACCTGAAGCTGATTATGCAGGTGTATTTAAGGGATGGCCAGACCTGCAGTCTGTGCCTTGGTGTGTGCTTTTCTATGGGCCCCTGTTCCTGTTCCTGTTCCTGTCTGACTGATTCGTTGCTGACCCTGCCTGATATATTATAAATTATATTGTTTATAACATATCTGAAGCC